CAATTGCCATATCGACACAAAAACTAATTTAGTATAATATAAAAAGATAGAATTGCCTGTTTAGACACTTCCGGGGTGCACATTTCCGCTTCGTTGCTCTTGCAACATGGTCTTCGAATAAGCACCGTAACTGGCTAGAATCATTGTGCCAAGATTGTGCTAGCTGGTTGGTATAATTTCTTACGTAAGCGAATGATAAGATATCAATCTCTGATAAGAAATTTCTAATTATTTGCAATTATGAAATTTTAAATTATTTCCGATTATAATTTAAATTACATGTTTTTTTCAATGTGTCATAAAATTTTAATTTGTTTTCAAAACATGTTTTTATTTTATGTAATATATCGCACGTTTTTAATTTAGTCAATATGTATGATCGCCGCCTTCATAACCTGACATGATTATGTTTGTTCATTAGTGATCATATGAAATTTACCAAATTTGCTCCGGGTACATATCCCTGTTCCATGTTTGTGTGAAATAAATATGTTTTTTCAGAGTAATTTCTGAGAAAGGTCAGAAACGAAATATTCTATGACATATGGACAATGACGTTAAAGACGTGCGCTGCAGCGCTGAGAATATACGGTTATTTAATTAAACATGCTACTCTCGAAAATCGATAATCAAGACAAAAAGAGAAGTTGTAATTCTTTAAACTTCTTTATAATTTTTATTTTTCATAATTCGTATTTTATCTATTTTCACTAAATTTTTCTTAAGATATTTATCTTAAAAAAAAAGTTCAATAATTTTGTTTAAAATATTTTTAAAAAGACAGGCATGTGAGTTAAGATATTTAGATTTATGAATAAATCTTTTCTTAAAGAGAATATTTCAAATTAACATTTTCTTTTCAAAAATCAACACTTTATTATATGTAAACATAACAAAAATTAGATATATAATTACTGAAATAATAATGCTGTAGACGGATTTTTTCTGGAGATACCTTAATGAAATTAGAACAAAAATATCGATAAGAACTATTTTTTAAATTAAAAATTAAATGAAGTCTTCACTAGGAAAAATTTCAAATACACAATTAAATACAGGAAATCTAATTACGACTAATAAGAGGTATCAAAATGCACTTCTAACAAACTAACAATGCAATTCTTCTCTTTTAATTGCTTTGACAATTAAATTCACACTAATACGAAATAAGTAATTGTGCGAAGGAAATGAAAAAGTATCAAAGAATCGCTGGAATAATGACACTCGATACTTGGTGATGCGTTTTCCTCATGTGAAATCCTATACCAAAAAAACGTGCAAATTACCTCGTCAGTCGGAATTAGACATGACTCCGGATCCCGATAATATTCTGAAAACGTTCCGGAATTTCGACGACTGCTCTCGTATCTCCGTATATCTGACATTTCCTTCTTGCTGTAACACTTGCATATCCTGCTGAACAACGATCTGTTCTTCGTCTTCATCTCGTTAGCTCACCTTGACCTTGACCTTGCCCTTGACCTTGACCCTGTCCCTGACCACGCTCTCACACTTTCCTAGGGAAACGGCAATTCCGTGACTGGTCCTTGCGAACGACTGCTGCGCGATTATTGACTGGCCGAGGACACTGTCAAGAGACATCTGACCCTGAACAAACACTTGGGCGAAATAATTTTATCCGGCGCGTTATTAGCGCCATCTGAAGGTGTTCGGCTTTCGAAATATAACGCGCATGAGAATCGAAAATCAATGTGTGGCCGATGTCAGTCGAAATCACCCTCATCGTTAAGATTTCAAGAGTTTCTGATCGGAATGAAAACGAAATGTAACGTCGCATTTGAGCGAAGAAGAAATGACACTTCAAGGGAATTCACCCAAAGGGAAAGATGAGACGGGAGGATCGTATCATGTTTCTCTAAACGTTCTGATAGTAAACCGATAGGCAACCGTTCTGATAGTAGATTTGTTAGAAAGTAGCAACGTCCTCTGCAACGTGTTTTTACTGCTTGAAATTGATCTCTCCTGAAGAGAAGCACAACGTCGAATGAATTACGTTGAATTTGATGTTAGGTGTAAGCAATTTCGCACGAGACTGTCTAATGATATCTAATCTAACTGATATCTAATTGAAAAAAATTCGACGCTCTAAGTATCTGACCTCGAAACGTGCTCGGGAGGAAAATTCGAACGTCCCGCCATTTTGCTTCCCGCAGGATTATTCTACGCCAGAACAGATGTTGTACCTTGTTGTAACTTCCTGGCACGAAATTCAAACATCTCACAAAATTTCGCATTAATATCTCAAGAATAAACTTATTGTTAAATACCTTTTTTGTCCAATATTCGGGATATTGGGATATTGGAAAGATTCTCGAGAGAGATGCTTCTATTGTCTCACGTTTATGAAAATATTGAACGATTTAGGAGCAGAAAAATTAGAAGTAGAGCAGATTGGTTCTCAGCAAGAGGAAAAATACGGAGAAAAATTCTGTAGTGTCACATATTTAAGATAAATGGTCCAATAAAACATATCTTTCAACGTTCCTGGAAACTGTCATATCTTTGAACTATCCCATAAACTATCGTATCTGTATGCTAGTAAAATATCTTTAAAAATAGGAAGCGTTAGCTTATTTAGCGCTCTAATATTTCTTTGTTATGTATAGATAGCTGTAAAAAAATTTGTGGATTGATTTAAAAAAAAAGATTTGATTCAGCATTACTTCACAATTAATTTTTCCCTCTTCGTCCGATCGACGATTTTTCATTGTGACACGCACAATGAAACGTGCTGCCACTATACGACAACCTATATTGCAAGTAATAAAAATAAAAATGTTATGTAAAATATATTTGAGAATGCGAAGGTAGAAATTTATAATAACTGAGTATAATGTCATGTCCGTTGATCGCGATCTGATTTTCGCAAATTAGATAACGGGAATCGGCTTCGATGATCTCCCTTCCGGAGATTAACTTTTCAGAGCACGACGGAAATTACGATATAATCGGCACTGCTTTAGAAATAAATCCCGTTTTACGTTATGAGACAGACATCAGATTAATCTCCCACATCACGCAAAGTTCACGTGCTTTTTCGTTGCATGGAACATCGAGGGTTAATCGAGGATCCCATTACACGGGGTATGTTAAGGATAAATGAGTAAGTTTTGCACAAAAATTTACGCAACGAGGGTCAAGGGGGTGCCGTGAAAGGGAGGGAGGAATCACCGACTCACCGATTGGTCAATGTGCTCCCATTTCTCCCCGACATAGTCCCAGACTTGTTCGGTCATTGTCCGCGGGAAAAAAAAAGGACGAAGAAGAAAACGGTGGGGACACGTAGAACGAGATATTTACAATAAATATCGATGGAGAGGTCGTGATTAGCGGCAAGCAATAACGACCCTCTCGCGATCACTGTGGGCTTACATCATTTGCGCCGATGTGTCGCGGCTGCAAATATAGCCAAGCTTGAACTACGAATGTATGTACATGTGTCTCCCGTTTCCGTGTGTGCGTGTGTGGGTCTGTAGGTACGCTTTTTGACCGCGTGCGCGATCCTCGCGGAGTATTTTGGGCGAGCCAGTGTAAGAGAGTGTGGGACCGCGATCGAGTATCTCGTGGCAGGTATTCGCGCGCCTATTCCACTCTAATTGAGTTGTTCGGAGTTCCTCGCGATTGCTTCGCGACGCGAGGAATGTCACGCTAAAACGATGTGGCGAAATAAATATTAATAGAAGATTAATAAATATTTATAGCAGATAAATTCATAGACACGCCTCGTATATCGCTTCATCTGACCGCAGTCTCTGTTACCGGTTCGAAGATCGATGCGTCCTGATTCATACATTCCAAAACTCAAGTGCGCGGCAAAGGAACAAAGGTCTTAGTTCAAGAATGCAACAAATCGCTTCAGAGAGCATCCAGAGATCCGGTGGATCCAAGGTCGAGATAGATGGAGAACGGACGTACACCTTCGATATACATACTCATGAATATTAAATTAAATTGGTTATTCCGAATTATTAATATAGGGATTTCCTATGTTTCGCTTCGCGAAGTTCGAGAATTACTCGTAAAGACTTTGCGACCGGTTTAAAACGAGCTGTTTTTAAATTTCAAAATGAATGTTAAGAGATGTACATGTATTAGGGATATTTTAATATTAGAAAGAACTGAATTTTTTCACAAATAGTGTTTGAATTTTGAGAGCCAATCGGTCCAAAACGAGCTGTTTTTGAATTTCAAAATGAATGTTAAGAGATGTACACATATTAGGCATATTTTAATATTAGGAAGAATTGAATTTTTTCAATTTACAAATAATTATGTTTGAATTTTAAGAGCCCATCGAAGACGCTATACGATTTCATTGAAACAAAAGCCTATTTGATTCGCAATTTGATTGTTCGGTATTTTTAAAGGATCGATCTATTTTTGGCTCGATTCGAGGCATCGCTCTCGTTTCTTCAAGATATTCATCAAGGATTCAAGCTTCCTTAAAATCTGACTTCATCAATTCTTACATAATCGTCAATTGTGTTTGAATCGCAGTCGATATAATTGATCTCCTTGAGGCTACTCGTGCAGTTTTTAGACACCGGTATCTCTTACCATTTGAGATCTCAGACGGTTTTTTTCCACTCATTACATTCGTCGAATATCACATATTAAGTTGCGTTACCTTGAGTCGTTCTACCGCGCGATTCGTTCGAGTCTCAGTCTGATTGAGCATCGAGCACGACAGCAGCACGAAGTCAGGATGGCCGAGCGGTCTAAGGCGCTGCGTTCAGGTCGCAGTCCACTTCTGTGGGCGTGGGTTCGAATCCCACTTCTGACAATTTTTTTTTTTTTTACCTGAAAAATTACGAGATACCCCATAATTGTTCAACTAGGGAGATAATTTATATTTAAATAAATATACGTGTCGCGCAAAGAGCGACGACTTGTGTATTTATATTCAATTATATGGGGGGGCACATCGGACGAGGCGCATATTCTCAGTTTTCCGAACGCAGCGTTGCACTTCTTTGCAGATTGGCGGCGCATACAATACACGGCCAACGTCAGAGCGCGGGGCCGAGCCGAGCGAGCGGGCGATCGTCGTCAACATGGCGGACGGCGACTTGCTCGTCACTATTTCGGGCGCGGCGCTTTCGCTGCTGTTCTACGAAAATGTGCGCAGCGTCGGCGAGCAGGTAAAGCGAAATCGCGTATCGATTTGTCAAGTGAATTCACGCGGCTCCCCGTCGTCGCGCGGGAACGCCGTCCGCGTGAGACGGGGCTCGCTTTCTACTGTATAACCTCTACGCTTGCTCAACGGCAAGAGTGATGACGTTCCCTCGTTCTTGCAGATGGGCTTTCTCCTTGGGGAGGCGCTCGAATTCATCGTCAAGACCTACACCGACTCCGACAATCAAGTGGAGACCGTCAAGCTTCACATCAGTGAGTACAGTCGTCCCGACAATCCGCGTCTTTTGCGTGTAAACAATGAAGGGGAAAAAAAAGAGCGATCGGGTGCAGAAGGTGCATCTCAAACGGGGGGTGACAAGTCTACTTTCGACCGCGGAAAGTGTCGACAAAAGGAGCACACTCTGGAGATGCTTGAAACGCTATTTCTAGCTAGAGTCAATGAGAGAGAATGTTCGGTGCTTTCGTGTACATACATAAAGCCAGATTTCGAAAAAGATCCTCCTCCCTTCCTCTGTTTTAGGGAAGAAACGGGGGGAGTGTTAAAAAGCGACATGTTTTAGGGTTAAGAAATTTGTCAACTTCTTACAATTAGTTTTTTTTTTTAATGGCACTCAAAATTTCTCAGCGAATTAATAAATCCTGTATTGGATACATTGAAGATCGCGAATTGGAGATTAGAGTTCGAGGAATAAGATTATTTTAATCTCCCTTCACGTCGTCCTGATTGGATGAATTCTAATCTTCAACGTGTGGTCCGATGTGGGCTTAAAGATGCACCGTGATATAATGTAGTATCTTTGGATCAATTAAGGATTTAAACGAATTTATTTCAGATACGAAAATTCTCATAAGCTATGTCATAAACTTGGAAGTTATAAAAATGTTTAACTTTGCCGAAACAAGCTTAGCATATGTTAAAATTAAAATAAAAGACTAGCACACATTTTTACACGAGAGAAACATAATTGTTTAACAGAAACTGCTGTATACAAATATAAATGGAATATATGATTATAAATTAAAATATAATAACATCCATAGATGAATATTGTTATGTAGTTTTAATGTGAGAAATCCTTAGAAAATCTATAGTAAGATTAGAGTTTAGATAATGAATTGTTTTCATATGTGTCATAACTTAATTGAAGTCAAATTTAGCCATCTCTTTTATTATCTACATTGTCGGAAAAAGACTAATCTAAAATTGTAAACCAACAACCGGAATGAGATAATTGATAAAATCTTATCAACTTCCTTGATTATGATTATTTTAACTGTTATTAATATTGTTGCTATCATTTGTTACTATTATTACTCTTATTTTTGTTATTATTAGTATTATAATTTATCCTACTATTAAAAATATTATAAACACTTTTAGACGTGGAAACCATTGTGACGTGTCCTCTGATCGATCTTTTGCACGACTCCACCGGTCGGATTAACAAGGAGAAACTGAAGGATTTTGTGCGTGACAAGAGCAAGCAGGTGATTGGTTGGTTCCGCTTCCGTAGAAACACCAGTAGCTTGATCCCAACAATGAGGGACAAGGTACTGCATAAGCAGTTTGCCTCGCATTTCTCCGGTGGAAACGCCTCCATGGAAGAGTTCTTTCTCACCTGTCTTCTCAACGCCTCCACCTCCGAAACACGCGGCACTCACAAGTTTCGACATGTGTTCCTAAGGCATAAGCGAGGGTAAGTATCACATATCAAAAATTGAAAGTTTCTTTAAATTTAAACAAGAAACTAACGGACTCTCGTAATTAAAAAATAAATTTAGGAAAAAAGAGGCTAATGAGAGTCAAGCGCGGTAGTTGGTGCGCAAAGAATTCTGTATCACTGAAGATAGCTCGAACCTGAAGAGCCGAAACGTTGTATTTAAGTACTATTAAAAATTGAATTTTTTGCACATCAAGTACCGCGCTTGATTCTCAGCTTCTTTTTTCCTAAATTTATTTTTTCTTTATATTATATTTTGGCTTATGATTTTGTTCGTTTAGGGTATTTGAGCCGGTTCCTCTGAGAATAAACAATCTGGGTGATGATGCATCTAGACACGACGGCTCAGATTATAAGCCAACACCTGTTAGAAAGTCTGCATGCTTACCTGATGGTTTCACCGAATTGATAGCATCTTTAAAGTGAGTAAACGTTTATTAACGTAGCAACTGTTAAATTATTGTTTCAAGTTATGTAAAATTGAAATTTCATCTAATATTTTGATATTGATATTCTTTAGACTGGACATGACGAGGAAAAGTGGATTAGATTCCGCTATGGTGATCCAAAAGGCCGCCGAACGGCATCTGACGTCACTGATCCCGAAAGTATGCGAGTCCGATCTGGAAGTGGCCGAATTGGAGAGGCAAGTGCGCGAACTGAAAGACAAGATCGCAGCGCAGCGATTAACCAGGAAAACGAAGGTGAACGGTGAGAGCTACGAGAGGACCTCTAAAGCAAACAGGGAGAATTGCTGTTCAGAGAAAATCGATTCCTCGACGAAAGACGAGGCGATGAAAATCGGCGATGACATGCGTCTTCATAGGGAACACATCCCGTCCTGCGTATGTCATCTTAAAAATTTGAATTAAATATAGAATATCCTAGGCCAATCGCACATATATTTTCGATTTACGAATTTAATCACTTCTAAATCGATCTCTTTCAACAAAAATTTAATACAGGCGCAATTTTCTCCACAATTTTTTAATGTTTTATTGTTAGATATTTTAGTAAATTTTTTAGAAGTTTTAAAATGTGAACTTGTAAACTCTAAAATAGATGTTAATCTTAACACAAAATATTATTCTAGGCCCAGCCAGTTATTTCTAATAACTGGATACCGAGTCGCAATACAGCCGCCAGCATCGCTAAGAGCGTCGTAAATCAGGAAAAAAATCGCCGCTCGGGACGCGGCAATCTGCAGGAAGATAGCAATCAACAGCAAGATACTTGCGCACAACCAACGCAAAATTCCGTCAATAGCAGGCGTTCGTTCATTCCGGAAATTACCACCGAGTCAATCTGTCAGGAAGGTAGCGAAGCAGGCATGGGTAGAGGTAGAGGAAGCATTCGAGGTAATCCCGAATTGTCGGGAATGAAGAAACGTCGTAATCCAAGCACATCCCAGGTGCATTCCTCCCAAGAAAGAAGTATTACTCCGGAACAGGATTTCTCTGACGCCGATTGTCCTCCTTCTCCTGCTGCCGTACCCCTTAGCTCCTCTGTTCTCAGGTGAGGGGCTAGGGGTAAAGAAAATAAATAGGAAGAAAAGAAACAAGAAGATTGTTAAAAAAGTATCAATTTCTTAAAAAAAAAAACTAATTTTGAAAAACAAAGAAAAATTCAGAAAAAATAATTTTTTACTTATTTATTAATTAAATTTAAAAAATAGAG